AGACTGTCCAACTCTTTCAGGAACCAGTTACATCATCGGTTTGATATTGCGTGACTGGGAACACATGAGGAGAGTAACACAATTTGGATTTATGATCGTGACTGTAGAGGTGATCTGCAGATGCTAATCCTATCGGAAATTTGAGATCTTAATCCCATCCTTTAGGGGAACAATATATCACCCCATAAATCACATTTAGAGGCTTCGGCTAAAGATGGGTGAGTTGGGTCAAGGAAATTTGTACTTTGCATATATTCTCGTGCGTGTGATGGTTTTTTATGATTTAATAAATAAACGACACCAACCTGATTGCGGGATTAAAAAAAAAAAAATTAATTCTAAATTTTAATTTTTATATTAAAAATTGAATCCTACAAAAAACTCTTTCCCATACACAACTTTTTTCTTAAAAATTTCTTTTTTTAGTAATTATCCTTCAAAATTAAAGAAACAAATATTTTTCTCGCCTTTCAACTTTCCAAAGTCCTTTACACATTCTTTACTTTTATTACAAGAACCTTAAGGACATTAAAGAAGTATACTAGTGCATTGAGATAAAACCTCCAGTTAAAGGAAAGCAAGTTTGAGAACTTTGCTCTTTCTTTGGATTGCATGAGAAAAGGCTCATGGCAGTTACTTCTTTATAAATTTTTCTTGGGGTTCTTTTCATTTTTACTTCTTACAGATATACATTTTTTATTAAATAACCATATTTTTTTCTTGAGGATTTTTTATGCAAACAAAAAAACCAAACCACATATTAAAAATATTTATATTGTTGACTTGGAGAACCAGCAATATATTCATTGTTTACTTTTTACTATTGCCCAGCATAATCTGCTGCATCACAAAAACCACAAAACTTTTTTTCAAAAAAATTTTCACAAAAAAACTGTAATTAGTTTACTTCTGTCAATTGATCAACACTTCAAAACCAACTAATCAAACATTACCAATTATATAAACAAATCTGTACTACCAAAATATCACACATTGATCAACATAAACAAAACCTTTTTTAACAATAAAAATTAAAACAAATCACATTATCAACAAACAAACCAATCATATTATCAATAAACAAACCAATCACCAATTGTATTAACAAAATAACAACATAATCATCATAACAAATTGATTATCAAAGAAATATATCATCAACACTATTGTATATTTTGGACAGTAGCCAGGTCATTTGTAATAGGTACATATATAACATACCTCAGTTAAATAGAACTACTAGCATGGTATGCTTATTCGGAGTATCCTTAGCTTTACAATTAGTTTTTTTGCATCTATTTCTTTATTTAGTATTTTATTTTTTTTTTACTTCTTATAGTCTTTTTATATATAAATCCGAATAGGTATTTATAGCTGCTCAGCACTATCTTTGACAATGTATTGGTTTTAATATTTATTTTCCTTTACAACTTAGATAGTTTATTGTAGGCAAGCTAGTATTAAACTCACTGACCAATTGGTCATATGAAAGATGTTACTTTTTTTATGTATAAATTTTTCAATTTTACAATTATAATAAAGCAATAATGTTTACCTACTTTAAAAAAAAAAAAAATTAATTTTTTATGTTTTCTTAATAAAATAGATTAATAACTAGTTATTTATATAAGCTATTATATATATATATTTGTATATAAAAATATTTAAACTATTATATATTTTGTATTAAGATTAAATAAACTTTATAAATACTTATTTGATTATAAAAAAAATAATAATAAATAACAATATATTTTAATATTTGATATTATATTTTTAATAAAAAAAATTTTTTTAATGAAATTCAAATTTTTATTTATTTAATTTTTTTTAAAAAAATAAATACGTATATATTAATACAAAATCTTTAATACATAATTAATATTTAAGTATCTTTTATAATTAGTCATTTGATTCAAAATTACTTTTTAAATAATTTCTACATAAATAAATTTATATTATATTCTTTAAAAAACAATTTAAATAGCTAATAATTGAATTTTTTAAAAATTTTAACTTAGGCTTTAGAATGTAATAATTTTTTTTTTAATAAATAATTTAAAAGTAATCACGGTAAGTCTTAATCGAGAATAAATCAGTTTCATTATAAATATAAAAAAGTTCTATTTAACCAAAACCGGTAAACGTCTTCCTAGATTTGGTATTTGTATACGAGGATGAATATATCTTGGTCTTACTGCGTCGCATTGTAAACTTGTAATAAAAATAACGATCATTACCATAGTGAAACTAAGTTCCTATGTTGCTCCTGCTCGGGTTCGAACCGAGGGCCTTCTGCGTGTAAAGCAGACGTGATAACCACTACACCACAAGAGCTTTTACATGTATTTGAATGGTCCAAATTTTTTACTTGATAACAATACTTGTCCTAATGTGGAAACGTGAAAAAAAAAATGAAATCCATTGTCTTTCTCCGATACATTAAATATTAGTAAGTCACACCATTGTAACTATGACGGATCAACTAATCATCCGCTTTGGTCTCACTGAGCAATGACTCACACTACCCACTTTCGGTGTTTGTCACAATCCAAAAAATACTGCGTATTATTATTAGTATAAACTCGGAACAATTTTCCAGAAGCCCTTTCGCTTGCTCTCCCAAAGAGGGCTCAAGCTAATTTTCATTTCTAATAAACGAAAAGAGTTAATTCTCTTTTTTCTTTTCTTTTTTTCCTTTTTCTTTTTCCCCTTTTCCCTTTTTCAAGAAACGGCTTGTGCAGATAGGGTATGTATAATACATGTCTTCCTGCCGAACCATTAATGCCCGGTCCAATCAGCCAACTTTTTTATGATGGGTTGCCTTCCCGCAACCAAGTGCAGTATCCTGCCCTGGCGGCTTCAGGTTCCAAACAACAACCACCACCACCACAACAAACAACAACAATGATAGCGACAACGACGACAGCAAGTAACTTCGTCTTTCCGCAGGCGTCAGATGCAAGCGCCTTACAGCCATTAATCCCGCCACCAACGCCGGTTCCGACGGAGGTGTCTACGCCCACAGAACTCGGGGAATTTGCCTCAAACGTGGTTTATCAGATGTGGTACGTCAAGACTACTGGTTCAACATTGGTTGACCAAGTACCTCCCCAGTCACCACTACCAAGTCAACCCGCTAATTTGTCTCAAACAGCAAGCTCACAATTTAAGAACTTTTGCGTTCAGGTGAGGTTTTTATTAATTATGAACACGTAATTTATTCTTTGTTGTTGGTTTTATTTTCAAACCAAAAGTTGTGACTTTTTTTGTGTTTTGAGGAGTGGTTGTTCAATTTAAGAGATCTATATAAGAGATTTAATTGATCAAGTGTATATTAACTCGTCTAATTAACTTTATGGCGTCTAGGTATTACTACAAACACAATTGTCCAACACTGTAGTCATTTTATCCCTGAAGTATGTACAAAGGTTCGTCAAGGGCGGCAGACCAGTTGACTTTGGGGAAGAAGGACCGGAGTATCGGTTGTTTACCATTGCATTGATGCTAGCGAATAAATTTCTCGACGATAATACATTTACAAACAAAACTTGGTCGGAGGTTACAAGTATCCCTGTCAAGGAGATCAATAAAATGGAACTTGCATTTTTGGAATGTATGGATTTCAAAATGTTTGTCAGCGGTTCAGATTACTCTCATTGGCTTGATTGTTTAAAAGAATATACAAAGACTCAGCAACAGTTGTATATTCATCAGCGGCAGAGATCATCTGATGCTTTAAATAATGGATCTTTAATCACAGCACAAATTCAAAACCAGTCAGATTCAGTTAGACCCACTAGGAAGTCTATGCAGTTTAATCAAGATTCAACATCATATTTTGATCCCAATGTCACGGTTCCCATTGTTGGCCAATGTATGATGCCCGTAAACCAGTTGTCCAATGGAATGACATTTTCACTTCCCACAAGTATTAGATCAAATGTTAACGGGATCGTTCAATCATCTGTTCCAGCTCGTATACAGCATTCGTTTGGACGGAATTCATCTTCTCCGGCTTTTCAGGCATTGCATAATTCATTTTTTAATCCTCTGAGAAACAGTGAAAATGCGAACGGAGAAGTTGGACCCTTCAATCACACCAAGCGTCATAGCATGCCTGCAATGAACTTACAAAATATCATAGATCAAACGCCACTACAACAAACCAGTCAATTCAAACCGGTTAATAGCAACCCTCATGCTTATCATTTGGCAACAGTAAAAATGGAAGCTAATCAAATTAATCCTTCAAGCGTCAATACTTCGTATCATAATAATAGTGCATCCCGCGTTGACGTAATAGGCCAGTTTGACAACTCAGATGTATATGGGTCATACGGAAACGTTGGCGTCAGTGATCAACGCGGCGAACAACCTCATGTTAACTTTCCGGTTCCCATTGTTGGTAATCTCGATAATGTTAACAGTATTGCTCATCATAAACCGTTGACCCAATTATTTAATACGAAGACGATTGCGACGCACTACCCTAACGTTAATGAAAACGTGACAGATAATTTACACAGTTTCATCAAACCTCAACAGCAGAAAGTTACAACAGAAGTCCATGAAAATGAACAACAATTGACTCACCGCCGCTCGATGCCTCAACTTGTTAGGTCTGCATATACCTCGTCCCTTGGATATGCAGGTATGATGTCACAAGCGGAAGACGGGTATAACTCGACCGCAATACAATCAGGTGTCGCTCACATTCATTCTCCCGAGCAACATCATTCAACGCCTCCATTGATGTATCACCAAAAAGATCTCGGATCTAGGGCGGCACAACATAAAGTCGGGAGTTTGGCACCATTTAGCATGGGAGTGAGCAGTAACCCTCCAACCCCTGTTGATCTTCCATCTAATTTGATGATTCAACCTTATCGATCAATTATTGGCAGTAACTATAACAATGCACATAACTCAGCTCATTCTCAAAAATCAGGTCAATACTATGGTTCTGTTCAGGCGCAACAGGGAATGAATATTGTCGATGGCATTGGTGGATTTGTTTTTCCTCTGTTCGGTTCAAACGGCAGCAGTAACAATGATAGCACCGTTCAACCATACTCAGTCAAAAGATCTGAGGAGGGAATTGTGAATAAGAATCACGGAGTCATTGGACCTATCGCTCCTGTGATGATTGCCCCGCCAGGGTTGGGAGTCGTCGGTGGGTTTGGTCCACCTGCAATGACGGTTCAAACATCCCGAGAACATCTACCAACAACAGCATCTAATAAAGTTGTTGGGTCCGCTGTCTCAAATATTTCCAGCGGTGGATATTATCGTATGTTTGATGGGATTACCATCGCCTAATTCTTTATAAACTACACGCAATAATTAAGTAGGAATGTGTGGAACATAGAAGAAAGTAATCAGACTATTGAAGTTGATTTAATTAGAATAATATGGCGGGGCGATATGATGAATTGTTTTTCTTTTTTTTTTCTATTTTCTTTTATTTCTCTTTGAAATTTATTTTTTTTTGATCTTCTCACTGTTAAAACTGATTCAGTCGAGAGGATCAAAAATAAATACTTTTATCTCTTACATCTACTTTTCACTTTGATATTCATACGCATAACCCGTTAGCCTAGAAAAGTTAGAAGTATTATTCATATCTCCCTGTATTATTCTATGGTAACTTTTAGTAGTTCTGATTTCCTTCACATTAAATTCCCGTACAACCTCTTAAATGAATTGTAGATTCTCAAATTTGTTTGACATGACTTTATTGATTTAAATCATAACTCGAGTGAAATAGAGGTATTTTATGACAAGAATCAAAGTTAATCATAGATTCATAAAAAAAAATTATTATTATTTTTTTTTGCAATTCTTGTAAGCTTCATTTTCTTTGATTCATAAACATCTATTGAGTTGTGGTGCAAATAAAGTGACATTAAAAGAAAAAAAAAACAATAATGGTAAATAACCAAAAAGGTAATAATGGATAGTCATGTGGCTATAGTTTGACAATTTAAACATTAATTTATTATTGTGAAAGTAATCCTTGAGAAAGTAACCTCGAAAAATAAGTACAAAAAATCATAGTGATCTTCATAAGTATTGTGACGTGCTTCCCAACACCAGTGTCAGCCAGTCGGATTTTCAATTTTATCCGATGCAAATTCAAGTGACTCGAGGGCCAGGCGCAATCATTATTAACCAGTGGAAGTTGAAATTTTCTTTTTCTTTTCCGCCTCGGCTTCCTTTTCTTTTTCTATCTCACTAACAATGGCTTCGACTTCTTCGATTTCCAAATTCTATGTCATTTCAGATGTCCGTAAGCATCACGAATTTTGCAAAATTTTAAATGCACCCATCTTATTATTACCTTATTAACACCATCGGCGGTCATGA